TATAGAATAGGTGGGCAATATAAGAAATAAGCTTCGCTAATGATTAGTAATCATTAATTTTTTAATATCAGAGTTGCGGAGTTTGCGGAGTTTGCCCACCTATTCTATAGAACATCCAAGGTGGGGTACATTTCTATTTTGGTATCAGTAAACAACTTATGATTCTTCATTTCGAGGGAATCAGAATTTATTTTATGACGAGGCTAAATCGGTTATTGCAGACCTTGGATTATCATATTTTATATTGGAAAGCGAGAGAGTTGAAGTTCAAGAAACAGTGCATGATGCTTTTACCTTATATTTCACCAGAGGTATTGCAGTATTGAAAGACGAATCACTTACACCCGTGTATAGTTTTGCAATGATAATGTACGAAATGATAACAGAACGCAGACCGAGATCAAATATTTCTCGTTAGAAATTTGATTACACACGGGTTCATATTTAAACTACGTGTCTTATAATTAGATATCCATAAAATAAATATATCATTGTACAGGTCTTATGTGCAACCCGTGCGTAACTGATTAAAAGTATGATGAAGCATAAGTTTTGCTGATTTAATATAAATATGATTTATCATCACGCATTAATTTTAATATAATTCTCTCTTGAAATGTTAAATAAAACTAACGATTGATAATTCAGACGCACAATTATCAATTTCTTTGAAGCATGGATTCACCACTATTAGCACAACAAATAATGCAGGTGGAAGATGAAGAGTGAGTAGTACAAACCGCACAGCATCGGAACAACTAACACTGCAAGCAAAAATATGGTCAATGAATAAAAGCCAAATAACTATGTAAGGGACGGTTAAAGAAGAGCGAACAATACAATCAATAAGTAAAGAAAAGCAAACAATGTAAGTACCAGGTAATAATCATAGCCAATTATTTAACATCGTAAAGAAAAAAAAATCGTAAAAAACGAAAAGTATACAACATATCACGAACCGATCGATATCAATTTGAAGATTTTTTTTTTTTCAATAAATAATTTATATTTGATTTATATAAAAGAAAATCTTATTTTGCAATAAATAGCATTTTCACTATCTTAAAAGTAACCAACTTAATAATGTTTTCGTCCAGCAAATAGCAATTTTAAATTGCCAACAAATCATGATTTTAAATACATCCGACCTTTAATTTCACCACATATTTACAGTACGTTAAATAATGATCGTTGGTAAAAATCTATAGGATAGCGATAGTTCGGGCGGCATTTAGATTGGGTAGGTGAAACCGAATAGTAATTTGTTAAAACAGTTACTGGTATGTGATAGTGCATGGCGCACTGGAGTGCGCGGTATACTATGCTAATCAAAATTATATGTGGTCATATAATAAAATTTATTAATGAATTTTTTTAGATATAGGTAGTAAATTTATAATAATTATTATGAATTTTCAAATAGATGCACAGCGCTAACGGTCCGATAGATAAAATTCCGCAAAGACTAGTATTACATCTCTACAAACAAAGCTATAGTACCCTTTCTTTTATTTAAATATAAAAAAAACTGTTGTAATATACAATGTGTTTTTTTTTAAAAAAAGAATGGTACAGTAAGAAGAAAGAACTTAATTTAGTTTTGTTTTTAAGGAAAAGGCTCTATAGCTTTGTTTGTAGGGACGTAATACTAGTCTGCGAAATTTTATCCAAAACTATCGAACCGTTAGCGTTGTGAAAATTCGTATAATTATTATAAATTTACTACGTACCTATTGATCACTATCTAAAAAAAAATTCACTAATAAATTTTATTATATGACCACATATAGTTTTGATTTACATAATATACCGCGCACCACAATGCGCACAACATTCATTAAATCTGTATTATATTAGGGTTAAAATTGTCAAAGTATGAAGTTTGTTTCACATGAAATTGATGATGAATAAGCTATTTTTGACAAAACGGACGCTTGTTTTGTTACATTACACATGATCACTACATGTAGACTTTTACGTACAGTACATTGAACAAGTTTATTTAGGTGGAAGTAGGTTACATTAATAAAAGAAATTTTTTTTTGCCGTAAATTAAATGATTGAGTTTTTATTTAACTATGATGAAACCTTTTTCTTATAAGGCAATCGAAAAATGGTTCGTCGATTTAGGAAATTATCTAACTCTAGATTAGATTACGTTTACACAGGTTAACTTTAATGTCAAATAAATAAATATTTAGTGGTCTCTATCTTTTTAAAGATATCCACATTATTGTGCAAATTTATTCAATATTATGCAACGCTATAAATTTTGTGTAGGGATTGGAACCGCCTAAAATTTTTCTTAATCGTTTAACCGTTTAACCGTTTAATTTGGCCGGCATTAAAATAATTCCAGCTCACGACCAACATAATTCCGCCCGAAACTATGGTGTAATTTTTAAACGGTTAAACGGTTCCAATCCCTAATACTAATTTTGTGTACATGATTATTGTCGTAATTAGTTACGACCTATTTTAAAACAGATTATTTTTATTGAGGTAATTAGGTTACGACCTAATTACGACAATCTCTATACATGATGGTAAACATGCAATGAAAGATGCGCTAAAGCCGAGTAGTATTATCTGATTTTTAGTTTATTTGGAAATTGACAGAATGAATTACGCGCTTTAGCAAATCACAAGTAAAGAACTAGTAAAGAACTAGTTGAGATTTAAAGAATAGTTAAAATTTGTTTATTTAATACATGCATACGTACGTACGTATGTACGTACGTATGAATTTTATCGATGGCGTAAGGAATGCAATAGAAATATCTAAAATTAATTATGCATTATCATAATTGGGTGAATGCATACGTGTAGAAAGGTTTTGTATACGTAAATACAATGTTGAATATTGATTTTATATCTATTATTCATTTTTAATTACGCAAATGACTGTCTCTTATCAACTTAAATATCTTGATAAAAAAATTGAAATTACTAAAAATTTTATTACGTAAAATAACTTATTTTTAATTTTATAAGTAAAAATGGTTCAAAATAAAAATATACGTATATAATCATGTATTTTTTAACCAAATTTATTAATTATTGACAATCTTGGACATTCAGATGTAACATTGAGTAGAACAACATTTGCCCAAAGTGTAGACTGCTGCGTATTCAAATTATTATAACTTCAACACAGGTCAATCACAATAAATCTGCATGTAAGGAACAATATCTATTATTCTCGCTCGGATAGCTTTATTATATGAAATAACATTACGGGAGTAGTGCTCTCCGCTGCAAGTCACGCAGGT